TGTTGCTAAGACATTTAAGTGAATTTTGCCCCATTTTATGACCTTTCTTGCAACAATTGTTAATTGAATCACTGCAATTGATAAGTTAGTAACCTAGTTGTTAAATGAATCTGGCTTCCCCATTGACTTTGCTTATCAGAAAGTTGCAAAAGGGGATCACATGACCACATGCAACCATCATAAATACGAGTCAGTTGCCAAGTGTCTGAATTTTGATCATGTAACCATAGGGATGCTGCAATGGTCATGTGAAAATTGGTTGCAAGTCATTTTTTTTCAGTGCCATTGTAACTTCAAACGGTCACTAAATGAACTGTTATTAAATCAAGGACTACCTTGAGATTACAGTATCTCTGGAGCGCTCAATGAAGTGTAGCACTACCATGGCTTTGGCTGATCCTGAAGCCTAAGTTGCCCTGAACATTTGCTTGTGAATGAATGTGAAAAGGGTACACAGGGAGTAGCCGTAGTAACTACACTGAATGACTTTGGTTTTCATCCCTCTGAAAATGTGAGTGAAATCGATTTAGTTCTGACCAGATCTTGCTCCTCTGTACTGGCCCAGCCTCCTAAAGGGAGTGCAGCCTTCAGCACCTTATTCAACATTGTGGGCTTACTTATAACCGGATTTCTTCAAGAAGTCCTACAGATCTGGTGAGAGGGACAAACCTTCACAAGAGAGGCTTTCTTCACAAAGGGGCAATTCATCACTGCCATGGTGCTGCACAGATATACAGGTAGTCCTTGACTTACAGGGGTTTGTTTAGTGACCGTTCGAAGCTAAACAGCATTGAAAAAGTGACATGACCATTTTTCACTCTTACGACCATAGCAGCATCCCCTGGTCACTTGATCAAAATTTAGGCGCTTGGCAACTGGTTCATATTTATGATGGTTGCAGGGTCCCAGGGATCATGTTTTCCCCTTTTGCGACTTTCTGAACAAGCAAAATCAATGGGGAAGCCACATTCACTTAATAGCCGTGTTACTAACTTAACAACTGCAATGATTCCCTTAACAACAGTGCCAAGAAAGGCCGTAAAATGGAGCAAAGCTCACTTAACAAATGTCTCATTTAGCAACAGAAAATTTGGGCTCAATTGTAGTCATAAGTTGAGGACTACCTGTATATTTCAGATATTCCCATCTCTCTTCTAGGACAGGAAGCTAAAAGGAGAAGAATCTGTAGTTTTGGATCTTGGCTGGAAAATCTAATCTGGTTAGCAGGGCCCTTCCCCCCCACTGGAGGAATTCAGAGCTGCTCTGACCCAGATTTTCAAAAACCTCCCAGTCCACAACTGATCAGATGATACTCCTCCATAGCTTCTCCCCGCCCATCTCTGGCCTCTCATCTCAACTCTTTCCCTTTTTTTTTTTCCAGAATACCAGCAGCTCTCCCAGCCCAGTTTCCTGATTGTTCTCACTATAAACTAAAAAAAAGGCAAGAGAAAAGTTGCTAAACCAAAAACACTACCATACCATCGCTAGAAAATTAGGAATACTTGATAAACAACTGGCCTCTTTCTCAAATGTACCTTATTCCTACTTATAAAGGAGAGTTAAGTCAACCAAGAGGGAAAACATCTATTTCCTTCTAACTTGCAGCAGTTCCATAATAATTAGCCAATATCATTTGCATGTCACAATTCCCTTTCAATCCATGTTGTATGTCTGTGAGTAAGCAGGGACCAAGAAAGGGAGTGATTGTGTGCTCAAAGCGTGTGTCAGGGTGAGGGAAAACCCAGCCCTGGTCCACTCCTCAGTTGACTTAATACTACCTAAACATCAGAAAACAAATAAAAGTCCATTCAAAAGGGTGTGAATTGGCTTGAAAATGCTTCTAACTCCCCACCCCGGCCCAAACTCAGTAACTCTGAACCCACCACCTTTACTAGATTTCAAAGTTCCCCACAGCATACATAGTAACCCATGAAGAACATACAGCATTTGAAGAAGTTGTGGGTGGGGGGAAATAACTTCCTGAGATGATACAAATCTTCGCCTTGGGAATCCCCCAAGGAATGGGATACAGCACTCTTCTTCCAAGTAAAAGCAACTCTAACCCCAGCCCTCTGGAGGGGAGGGAGTTGAGAGAGAGAGAGAGAATCTTGTAATATTTTGAACTATGCAATTTCAAAGAAGGTAGGCAGATAAATAATAGCTGCTGTCCAAATCATACATTCGCCACAGCTTTCCCAATTTCTACTGAAGTCTGAGTCTGAGTCACTTTTCAAAATACTAATTTCTCAGCACTGGAAACGTCCACATCTAATCCCCACTGTAATGTCCTATGTGTACAACAGTAACAAGAAGAGAACAAGAATAGGTCAAGCTATTCTCCAAAGCACCTGAAGGCAGGAAAAGAAGCAATGGATGGAAACTAATCAAGGAGAGAAACAACCTAGAAGTAAGGAGAAATTTCCTAAGAGTGAAAACAATTAATCAGTGGAATGGCTTGCCTCCAGAAGTTGTGAATGCTCCAACACTGGAGATTTTAAAGAAGAGATTGGACAACCATTTGTCCAGAATAGTATATAGTCTTGAGCAGAGGGTTGGATTAGAAGACCTTCAAGGTTCTTTTCAATTCTGTTATTCTAAGATGAAGCCACTCCACCAACTTCAAGGTACAGAAAATGCCATGTTTTCAACGCTTATCTACAATGCTTCCAAAGTTTTCTTACAACTCTGGCAGTATTTGGAGGTTTTCTTCTATTTAGCCCAGAATATCTGAGATAACCTTTTTGGTAAAGTTCAAAGCTGTTTAGAAAAACAAAACCACAACTGAAAACCCAACAACCCCCCCCAACAAAATACATCAAGGGCAAGCCATATGCCAAGGCAAGGCATATGTCCTAATGAATTAACTGAACATGAGCAGGCTTTTCTGCATAGAAACCTGTGGTGTATCTAAAGTTTGACATAAAGTCTAAACAATTCGTTTCCCTGGATTAGTCAAAAAGATAAGGATGTCTCACATTAGTTAGAAATTCTTGTTAACCATTAGTAATAGTAATAACGATTCTTATTTTGGTCAATCCATCTCTTTTGAACCATGTTTTGAAGATCATTCTCCATGTCCTGTACAAAGCTTAGGAAGGAAAGACTGCCAAAAACTGTAGAGTGAGTTGCACTCCTCCTTTTGAAAAGTCAGATGTTGACTCCTATATGAAGATGACATCAAATATATCAAGCCCTCTAAACAACAGCTTTACAAGATCAAACAATGTAGAAAAAGTTCAGCAGCACCTATGGAGATGTAATGGACACAGAAGTGAATTACTTCCAAGATTAAAAAGGAGATTTCTCAGCTTGAATAGCCAAGGAGTCCCTCAGAGGATGTTCTTCCAAGTCCTACCTGTTATGGATTTCCTGCCTAAATTCCAAATCCCTATTCAGCCATAACCCTCAGCACTAGGTTCAAACAATACACTAAGCCACAGGTATCAAAACTAAATCATGTCACGTGACGTATTGCAACATTTTTTTGCCTTTGCAGAGCAGGGGTGGGCGTGGCCTGTGTGTGATGCATCCGGCCCAAGGCCGCCAGTTTGACAGGCCTGCACTAAGCTAGCCACTAAGCTAACCACTAGCCCACAATAGATGGATTCCTATTGAGCTCCAAATCAAATAAACCACATTATAGCTTCCTGTAAGGTGTGAACTCAGTTGTCATTTGTCTGGCATAGTATTGTCAATCTAATGTCACAAGGCTGTTCTGAGGCTAAAATGGGAAAAAGGAGAGAACAATGAGATCTTTGAAGACACATGTTATATAAAGAAGAAAAACTGCAAGTTCTTTGGAGGGATGAGATAAATATTTCAGGGTGATGATGTCTCAGTTGAGCTAGGTTACTCAGCCACAGCAAGACAACTCGCTCTTTCCTCCTGTCTCAGTTAATGTAAATCCACGCAATTATTTGGCAGAGAGAAGAACTTAAAATCCAGTGTGAGTCATGACTTCATGTCAGGTAGTTCTCAAGTGAATCAGAAGCATTCTAGTTCCCCGGAACCAGAACAAAAAATTTCAGCATGACACATTTTAAAGAAGGAAGAAGGCAGTTGTCCAGGAGAGGTTGATAATTAAGACTCACTAAGAAGCATCTGGAGATGATGCCTCTATTTGAGTACAGACCTCATAACGCCACACCAGAAGGAGAAAAGACAGCCAAGTCAAGACGTCAACAAAACACTTTCCTTCTAATATTAGCAAATGTGGGAATGAGGGAGGCTGACTGGCCCTTAGGGAAGGAAAATCAAAGAAATTAAGATTAACACAAGAGAACAATCTGTCTTTGCCAGAATGTTTAGCATTGAAGTAGGAGCCTTGCTGAAGTCTACAGTGCCAATATGTATTAGACCTGCTTTGTTACTAGTTGGATCTCTCTGTGAATGGGAGACAGCAGGGCTGGAAAAAGGGCAGAAAGGAGCATCTAAAATGATTACAAGCAGAACAGCTCCTTGCTAAGAAAGACAACATGCCTTGGACTTTTTAAGCTAAAGGCAGGCAAGGTGAGAGAGGAAACAGACTACAGCTTAGAAAATGAAGACAAAGAGGGTTTTCTCCATTTCTAGCTACATAATCATTCAGGATCAGCCAAGTGAATCTAAAATCCAGAAGATTTCGGTGTGGTAAAAGAAAGAAGCTCTCTGTTTTTGGAAAAGACACAGAATGGAATCCATCACCAGAGACAGTCAGCCATTTAGGTAACTTCAAAAGGTACAATCCTTGAGGACTATCTATGTTTATTACTCGCACACTGAGGGCTGTTTACTCTCTTCTTCAGTATGGCAGGCAGACAACTGAAAGAGGCACCAGCTGCTGGGAAAGTAATAGCAGAAATAGGCTGCTAACCACTGGTTCTGCACAGATGTAAGGTGGAAAGGAAAGATAAAAATAGCCAAGAAACCTAATCCTTGCTGCAGGACTTGGCTGGCCACAATGAAACACAGAATGCAAGACTAGATGAACTGTTGGTCTGTTTGAGCAGTACCTCTCTTACCTGGCTTATACCACCTTCTTTCCTCTTTTTGCCTTCAATCCATGCCAGACAGATGGGTAGCAAAGTCTTGTTCTTTTTCCCTAGGCAGGAAATACCAGGTTTAAGCAAAGGCCAGTTCTCTCCCCCTCACCCCACAGTCAATTCTGTCTAATTACTCCCTCCTTACCCTCAGGCTCTTTGTAATGGGAAGCATTCCTGCAGCCTTCAAAGGCAAGTCCTCCTCCATTAAAGGCTTGCAGGGTTTTGGCCCCAAGCTGAATGGAAGTAAAAGGCAGAAATATTTGCTTGCTTTCAAGTATAGTGCAAAAAAATCTTCAAATCAAGTGATCTAGTGATTACATGAAACATCCACATAGATTCCTTGGCAGCAGTATACAGGTAGTCCTCAACCTAGAATCATTCATTCAGTGACTGTTGGAAGTTACAAGAGCACTGAAAAAAAGTGACATGACCGTTTTTCACACTTCGACACCCATGGTCACGCAATTGTATTTCAGGCGCTTGGCAACTGGCATGTATTTACAACAATTGCACTCTGATCACCATTTGTAACCTTCCCAGTCGGCTTCCAACAAGCAAAGTCAATGGGGGAAGCCAGATACGCTTAATGACCACATGATTCACTTAACAACTGCAGTGATTTGCTTAACAATTGTGACAAAAAACGGTCCTTGCATCACACCCATGCCAGAAGCACTGAGGTGCTTTTGGGTTGAAAGGACATCCAGTTGGGGGCTACTTTCATGTCTCCAGCAGGAGCTGGAGTGAAGGACAGAAGCTCACCTCATGGCAGCACTCAGGTCTCAATTGTGGGCTTGCTACTAGTCAAGCCACCGTCCTAACCACACGAGCACCGTGCTCCTAAAAAAAAGTCATAAAATGAGGCAAAACTCATTTAACAACTACCTTGCTTAACAATGGAAATTTTGAGCTCAATTGTGGTTGTACAACAACTTGTAGAACTATATGGCCATCAGGCTGTTTTCTCAACTTCCTACTTTAGCTTCTGACATTCCACTGAGTTCTCCCACTGTCAGAACTACTAGGAAATCAACTCCACAGAAAGACCAGAACTACATTTTATTGAGATTGGCTATACTAACAAGAGCCAGTTTAGTATTAGGGATATGGATAAGGCATCAGATTGGGAACCTAGAGACCATGAGTGCAAGTCCTGCCTTAGACAAAGAAGTTAGTTGGGTGATCTTAGTCACTGTCTTTCATTCCTAGGAAGGAGGCAATGGCAAACTACTTCTGAAATCTTGCCAAGAAAACTCCAGTGACTTTTCTAGGCAGTCTCCAAGACACAATTGAAAAGAAGGAAAACAATCACACAGAATATTGCAAGTCTGATTGTGTTGCTGTACCTTCTCCCTCAGTGAATCAGTGTCTGCCTGAACAGCTTCCAAATATTGCTTCATTTTCTTTGTCTAGGGAATGGTTCTTGCATATTTCTGTCAAAGTTGCCTCTTTTATTTCCTACACTCATCTAAGAACTAACTAGGCCAGACCTGATTTACCTTTGAAATCCAGGTAAGACAAAGGGTAGCATTCTGTATTTGTATTCATTATTAAAATGAACCCTGTTTAGTCCCCAAATTAACAAAAGAACTCTAAGAGTTGCACAAAATTGCTGTGTGAGAGAGATAGACAGTTTTCAAATTTGATAGATTAAATAAATGAAATATATCTTTGTTGTTGTCCATCAAACATTCCTCTTTGGTCATAAACCAAAATACATGCCAAAATGTGGTTTATTTTGGTTTGGCACGACAAGTGAAAACAACTATTGGGGAAATAATTTTGCCCTGTTACAGCACAGGTCTTCTGCTGATTGCACTTTGATTTGGTTGCCAAGTGCATAAAGAAACATACTTTCTACTGAAACCATAGTACAGTGTTTTTTTGCAACTTTAAGATGTGTGGGCTTCAACTCCCAGAATTCCCCCATGAATAGTTTATATGGTGTCATGGTGACAACTATCTTCTGCAGCCTGGTACAAATGTCAGTGGCATTTGTCCCAAAACAAGATCACAAGTTAACTAAATGAACTATAGAGTCATTCACTCACTTATGTAATGTTGGGAAGGAGCTTTCGAAGAGTGTAATGGAAGGCACATACTGGTAACAATACCCACCCATAATTCATAGGGGTGCCTGTGAGATGACAGTCAACAATAAGTTGCAAGTTTTCTCTGGAAACTCTTTGTTTTTATCCCTATCCAGTGCTGTTACTTGGCAGCAAAACATACTTGTTATTTATTGTGTTACCTTAGCAAAGTATCTCTGCTAGCTCACTACAAACCAGGAACCTTTTCTACACAAAGTCCTGAATACAAACAGACCTTCACCAAGCAAGCGCATATGTGGATGGGTGGAGTAAAGAAGACCATTGAAATCAATGTTGATATTGGAAGAGATGCTACAGAAAACCTCAAGCAGCAGTAGCAGCACCAGCCTCCCAAGAAAAGGGGAAGTGGACATGTTTAATTCTTCGTAAAAAATAATAACAACACATTTCTAATTATCATGAATCAGCAATTTCTTACAGATGCTTCAGATGTAGCCTGTGATTCTTTCCATCTAAAGCAGAAGTGTAGCCCTCAGATCCTTCCTGAAGTTGCAACTTATCATTCTTGTGATAGAAGGCAATGAATTACATGGACAGTTATTATACTTTCTGTAATTAATTTGTTTTTAATTACATTTAAATTAAATCAACTTCATTTCTATCCATCTTTGTTTTGTTCCAGCCTATTTTTGAAGAGTATATCTGTCAGTATGATGCTCAGAGACCATGAACCATACACATCCCCCCTCCAAAATCTACAGTATGTACCTCTATCACTGCGGTTTAAAATGCTACTTACATGCAAAAATAAATCAGAATTATGAACAATTTTTACTTATCATTCATAAGGTATCAATGTTCCTGGAGATCATTCTCTCCTGCCCACCTTTTCCCAACATTGGGAGGAGATGCATTAACCAGGAATTTAAAACTGAGTTTGTGTGCTATCTAAATTGGGGGTCTTGGCAAGCCACAAATAGCAATCCCAGATTTGTTCTTAATTAACAATACATTGGTTAGTAGGGGGCATAGAGTTCAATCTGCACAATATGATAAATGTTAAATTCCTAATTAATGTAGACATTCCAACTAGCTTAAGGAAGTAAATAGTTAAGTGTATAAACAGCAAACTGGAATTCTCAAGAAATCTGCCTCATTGTATGCAAACTTGGACATACTTATGGAAGTACCAATTCAAAGTGCATATTCTAGATACATTCATGTTCTCTGCACAAATAGGACCAAAGTTATGCTACCAAGTACCAGGATGACAATTTCTGATTTTTTAAGAAGTCAAAAGAGGTATAAGGCATATGACTTTTCTATAGATGGCTCCACAGTTTTGTGAAGTACCAAACAACATCAGAACCGACACAGAAATATAAAATTTAGAGTACCTAGAAGGGAAGTAAAGGAAAACTTGTTTGAACAAAAACTACCTTTTATTGACTATATCCTTGTAAAAAGGAAATTCTAGGAGCTGCAAAAGATCAGGTTAGAGAAAGCTATGCTCCATCATACTCAGAGAATCGCCCTCCGCCCCCCCCCCCATTTTAATTAATCCATATATATAAAAGTGAAATACCACTCGTGCATCATCACAAAATCTCCTGAACTGTAAAGCCTACAAACTTGAAATTTGGCCCATATGTTCCTCTTGGCTTCTAGGTGCTCACTACGAAAGGGTTTTTCGAAATGATCATCAGAGCATTAGTATTTCCTGTATTATTATTATTAACATGCTCTCATGCTAAGGAGTTCTACTTCCCCTCCCCACCTGAAAAGAAATCTGTTCCAAATGCAAAACGCAAGCAGAGGAGAGGAGTTTCAGTTTCATAGCACCAAGCAGCTTTAATACAGAACAGTTGAGCTAAGCCACATCCAGGCTCCTTGCTGTCTCCTGCTTGCTCACTGCAAATACTGTTTCAGTTTCCAAACAGCCCTCAACTCTCTCACACACTGACAGGACACTAGCCAGATGAATACCGATGGATGCTGGTAAGCAGAGGCACAATTCCCCCCCAAAAAACTAAACCCGATTACATAGTTGCGTAACGAAACACAGGTATCAAGCTAGTCTGCAATAAAAATCATCTTCCAATATCTAACATCATGGAAAATAAAACCACATCTACAAAAGAGTGTGTGTGTTGGTATCTTCAAGTCAGTGCTGACTCTTGGCAACTGCCTGGACAAGTTGCTGCAATTTTCTTGGCAAGATTTCAGAACTGGTTTTTGCCTTCTTCCTGAATTTGTGTGTGTGTCTGACTCAAGGTCACCCAACTGGCTTTGTACCTAAAACAGGACTAGAGCTCACGGTCTACTGATTTCTAGCCTGGTGCCTTAACCACTACCGCAAACTGGCCCTCTTTGAGAGTAGAAGGGAATAACCCTTTGAAATATATCCCAACCTTGGCAGCTTGCTAACTGTGCGATCGATCCCTACAGGTCTGCCTTTAGCAGCAATTTGATTAGTGATGGACTAGTAATTCCACTCAGTAACGAAAATAGCTACAGGGCCAATGCACAGTTTGGAAAAGAGACAGCAGCAGCACAACCTATATTCATCTCAAAGTACCTGTCCTGTCTTTTCTTTTCAAAAAATTTTTTATTTCAATCTGCATATGCACAACAATACATTAATAATGTGGCATCAATATATCATACATTTTAGTATAGGCAAAATTAATACCAATCATATCTCTCAATGCATGTATTTCACATTAATTCATAATCCTTCAGTACTTATTTTCAACTTTTCAAAACTCTCTCCAAATGCCTACCACCATATCAGTTAAACATACCTAGTAATTCCATTATTCAATTTTCTCCCTGCTTTTATTTTATTTTTTAAAATAAAAAATTCTCATTTGGCAAGCAGTGTGGTTCCAGGTATCACATCTCAATACAAACATGACCATGGTTACCTGTTCATTATATTTGTTTAGTTTCATATTGTATCATCATTATTGTTAAATATTAAGCTTATCCAATTCCAATTCATGTTATATTAATACATTCATATCTTATTTTACAATGTTATCTAAAATTCTCACCTCATTTCTGTTGTCATTTCTCATATTACTTTTTTCTGTCACATTTGTCATTTTATCAATCCTTATCTGTAAATATAATTGTCCCCTCTGGTTAATAATATATTCTTATACATCACAACATATTAC